ACACACACACACACACACACACACACACACACACACACACACACACACACACACACACACACACACAAGCTTCTCCTCCACGTTAGCGCGTCCACACCCCCTACCGAGCAGCAGCGCATCGGCGGGCAGCACAGTTCTGGAAATGCGGTTGATCGGATCCAAATATGGCAACACTGGCTGGATACACATTCTGCATGCTGGTGCATGCTTTATTTAGATATTCATATAAGCAGTAACACAGGCTAAACAAAACAAACAAAAAAAAAGGGGGGCTTTTGTAAATTATTCTTCAGGTCTGCACATCCACAGAAGGACAATTCAAACATGACTCATTTAAAGCACATATCTAATAAAGCTACTGCATCTGCATGCCTTTAGTGTATTATAGAGTAAACAAAAATAGTGAAACAATTTTTAATACATGTCAAAACAGTATAAACACATTGGATATATGGGGTGCCAATTGATTTTAAAATCAAGGACATCTTTTCAGGATTTTAGTTTCACGGGTGTTTTCAAGCTTTCCACCAAACCACTCAGCTTGTTTAAAGGAAACACGCACACTACTAACTAGTTTGACTTCCCTTGTGAGAACAGAGCTGCGTTAGGGGCTCAGAGACAAAATTATAGACATCCACGTTAAAGTTTCAGGCTACAAGATCATCTCCAAGCAGCTTCATTGCACAGTTAAAAAGTACAAAGTCTGTGAGACTGCAGCCCACCTGCCAGAATATGGATGCAAGATGAAATGCAACCCCAGATTGATCAGATAAACAGTGTGATGGTAAAAAAAAAAAACTAAAAAAAAAACAATAAGGGCTGAGGAAACAATCAGAAATCATTCAAAAAAATTGTCAATGTTTGTAAATTTTGGCAGTCATAATTAAAAGACTGGAGATCTTTTAAGACTACATCCATAGAAGGCTTAAAGATCTGTTTTTTTAGAAAAAAAAAAGAATTTAAGATCAATCAAGACTAAAATGACCCCGACAAAGATTTAACCCCATCTCTTGCCTAATCTTTGTGAATATCAGATACTGTAACAAGTCATTCTGTAAAAGGGTCAAACATAGTTTGAAGAGAGATGTTAAAAAAGATTTTTTTAAATAAGCATGGCGTTTGAAGTCCCTGGAGCACAAACCAAGGCGACACCATGACCTTTTTTGTTTTTGTCCTTTTCCCCCATTTGGTAGTATTTGGACAATGTTTGATGGCAAGTGTTTGTTCCTGTCATCACCACTTGCAGAAATCACTCTGACTGCCATGTTTCCAAACAAAAAGTACAGGCCTGTCAAATGCACACATGACTGGGTTACCTTTTATTCCTAGAAGAAAAACTGGAGTATAAACATTCACCAGGAAGGTTTGTAGCAGGTCTGCATGCCTCCAGACACCTCCATGTTTAATTTGCCTGCATCGAAATATTAGTTTGACACAAACTGTTTCAAAAAAAWTTTTTTTTTCAAGAAAATTCTACCATGATTCGTACCCCACCCATGAGATAAAGGTCACAATAAGTAAGCTTATGGGCTACCACTTGAGTTTGGCTCGTTAAGAGATGTCCTGGATTAACATCGGCAGCCGGTGGCAGAAGTCCCCTGCCACTTTCTTCCATTTTTCTGCTTGATGATCCAACCTAGTTGATCTTCTTGAACCCCAAAAGCCCACTGGCTTAAATCTCCGGTTATGTAACTGCCCTCAGGTAATAACAGTGCATCTCTAGTCAGGTGGAGAAATCAAATCAAGGCTGTCAAAGTAAGCCAAACCATCTATATATAGAGCTCTAACCTGTATTACTTATTTGAGCAGTTACTTGCCGTCAGTCAGTGTGAACTGAGGTGAAATGGTTTAAACATACAAATCATTGTTGAGTTTAAATTGTTTTATCCAAAAAGAAAAACATAAATTAGCCAAAAGACTCAATAAATCCAATACAATTTGATCTGCACACCAGGTTTATTGTCATTTATGTACAAACAAAATAACAAATGTCACAAGAAACTTTAAGGCTTATTGCTTGAAGAATGAGATACTGAAACAGGCTGACATTATTGAAGATGTGATTCTTCCACAGGCTTACGTCAAACCTATATGAATACATCCCTCCTTCTTTCCAAAATGGGAACAAGAAGGATATAATACAACAAATGCATAGTGTAAAAAGGCTTTTGTTTATTGATCCAAAGCAAGTTTAAACTCCCTCTTCTACAAACTACTTCACTGAGTTACAATCACTTGAACAAAATCCTTGTTCATTAAATGAAGTACATTTGAACTGCATCCTTAACATTTCACAGTAACTGATTCCTTTTGATTTTATCTCTTATGTTAAAAAAATAAACATACATTTCCCATTTTCCAGAGCTTATACAGAGTAATTCTAGGTTGTAATCTAAAAATGGACGATTTTGTAACAGCTTCACACATGTGAGAGGAAATGAATAACTTACTGGTATAATTGCCAGATAACTCTACGAAAACGACAATTCATGTTGGCTTCAACTGATTCGTATTCAGCTGCCGACACTGCCGAGTAAATCCTTCTGACATTTGCCTGCTGATTACCAAAGAACTGAAATCATTTGAGCTCATTTGACCCGACATATGCTGTTCGATTTGTTTTGCTCAAATATGAAACGACACAAACCAAAGCACACCGTCAAAGGCAGCCACTGGAACCATCTCTAAATTTGCTGCATGGGCTTCAAGTTGGGAGACACCTGGATGATGGTGAAAAGAGACATGAACGTGTGTTTATTAAAGTTTACTTTTTTGAAAAAGTACATTATAATGTTGGTAGCAAAGCTTTCACACTCCTCACCTCAAAATCTGTGCCTGTGCATGCCTTGATATCCTCAGGAGTAAGACCCTCAACGACTTCGATCAGTGTCAGACCTTTAGTTTGATCCACGTCAAACACAGCCTGGTGAAGACAGAAGGTAGAGGAGGAGGAGAAAAACAATGATGGGATATAATGGCAAAATTATGACTGAGTATATGATGTGCACTAAGTGGGGTGACGGACAAGAATGTCAAGGCCAGAAATATCAAGCTGACCTAAAAGAAACAATAAGCTTCACCCCCATCTAAAAAAAAAGGGCATTAGTAGCTCAGGCATGAGGCCAGAGTACCACTTCAGTGTCATCCACACAGGAGATGACAAAAAAGCTGCAATTACTGGTGACACATCCAGGAGAGGCAGAGAGCAGCTCTCCACTCCCCGAAGCTGGACCACAACAAACGTGAACAAATACTCTGTAGACACTGGGCTACTTCTGATGGTTGGAAGGTGAGAAAATTCATTCTAGTGGTAAAAATGAAACTGAAATGTGCAACTTTATCATCCAAGCTAAATATCATTAATGGACCTTTTGAATATAAAAGGCTCTCAATCCTCACCAAAAGAAACACATATAATTGATTGTTTTTAGCCAGTAAGAAATCTGTGCTCTAAATAATTATTTCCCCAAATAAACTCCATTATTTACAGCATTTTAAAAATTACTTGCTAATTTTATGTTAATGTTAACTTTAAAAGATAAACTGCACATTGGAGACTGGTGAAACGCAATTTCAACTTCTGTGCTAATCCTGTTACATAGATTTTGACTATAAAGTACACTTGAACTTGAACTTAAAGGGGCAATATCATGTAAAATCAACTTTTTTGAGTTTTATATCATGTTATAATGTTATACTCTCATAAAAAAAACATGCCCAAAGCCTTGCTTTGACTCATTCATGCATGTCTGAGAAATCCTGCAGTGTTTTTAGGAAGCCATGCTGAGGAGCAAAACGACAGGTGGGGACCAGAAACGTCTTTTGGGACCAGAAACGCCTCTGGGTTGTGTCCTTTTGGGCCAAGCTCCTCCTCTGGGATGCGTCTTTAAGCCTAACTTCCTCATGGCAGTGACCCCCCACTCCTGCCCACTCGCTCCACGACTCGGCAGGCTACATGCTGAAATGGGCGTGACCGAAGTGGTTGGATTTTCTTAAAGAGACAGAGACCAATTTCAAGATGTTTAGAAACTGTCAAGATGAGAAGTAAATTGTTTTGGGGATTTTTTACAAATATATAGCTCTTTCATAAGCTGAAAATGTGACAGAGTTACTTTATTTTAGTATAAAATTGAAATATAGGCTTGGAAAGCACACAATATCGCCCCTTTAAAAGATCCAATATTGTAGTACAAAAAAGATGCCAATTTAAATTTTACAGTGATTCATGCACAAAAATGAAAACTTGTACCAAAACTATTTTGAGCTTGCCAAATTGCAAGAATAATTTCCATGTTGTGCTTAGTTTTCTTCTCTGAAACAACTTTAGTAAAACTTTCCGTCAAAGGACACATTTGAAGTCAAAAGTGTGTTTCTTTGGAAAACATTGTGTAAAACATTCATTTAACATCTGCGATACAAGATTTCTACAGAACTAAACATGATGTGGAGACATATTTATTCAGGATTTAAAGCCTTAGGATAATAAAACAGCTTACAGGTGCTTTTCTGTTTTAGATAAAAATAGAGAACCAGATTTTTAAAAACTAACAAAAAAACTTTTATTTTCTTTTGCTGCCACAGTCATACAACTATGACAAGTTGAAGACAAAGATCTCTGAATGCACTATGTAATAAGCTGTTAAGTAACCATACATCCAGGTAGGAATAATTATTAAATCCTCTAAATGAGTTCCACACGCACATAAAAAGGCCAATAAAGATGAGTTGTCCAATGAATTATTTCACTGTTCCGACACATTCTCAGCATAAAACGCCTCTACTTTTAACTCCACCAAAAGTCAGTAAAACAAAAACAAGCAGAGGTTTGCACAGTGTACTTAAACAATTGCAATTTAAAAATAAACCTCAAGTTTTATTTTTGGCTTAATACAGTCATTGCAAAAACAGTTTAAGTGGAAACCAGGTGCACTTGCACTGGGCTTTGCTGCCTCACTCCGTGGAGAATGGCAGGCAAGCCACACATATATGCAGAGCCTGTCAGGCCTCTCAGCTCATTAGAACCCCACACAGTGACAGGGCAGGAGGCAGATATCTCACTCCAATTTAGCGAGACAGATGGAATGTCACTGGGAACAAGGGTCTATGGGTAACACAGACACTGACATGCATCTCTAATTGTGACACTTGCCACAAGTGATTAAGGAGAATTAAAGATTTATCAAAATGTGCTACATGTGGTAGACAAAAATGCGACCGCAGCATGTGGTTATGACAGGTGCTGTCATATGTCAGGAAACAACAGTTTGACTCCAGTTCAAAAAGCACAAGACTGTCACACATTCTATACCAGTAATCATTGTTCTCATGTCTAATATCCTCACTTGGTGGAAAAACAACTTGTTCTTCATTTGCAAAATAGTCTTTTGTTGTGAAACTCTCCGGTCACCTTTCTTTGCCGTCTTCAAATCTAACTCCATCATTAGCCACATTGATGAAAGTTACTAATTAAGATTCTGGCAGACTCCATGACGTGTTGTCTGCTGAGAGGTGGGCTGAATGTCATGCAACAAGAAACCATTCCAGTAACAAAATGTTTGAAGACAAAAAAATAATAATAATGGATAGACAAAGAATCAACTGCATTGATTAGCTTTAGACCATCCAACAAATAAACAGGTTATTTCAGCAATGCATTCAAGCAATTACAATAAGTAAATTTGGAGATGCATTTATATAAAGACTCACAGTAGAGCCATAAAAAAAAATCTATTTGGTTGCTTCGTTTATAATAGCTGCAATTAGTATGGTGGTCATTATGCAAAATAACAAAAGATAACATTTTCATGAATCTATTACTGACTGAATTATTTCGGAGACATTTAATTTCAGCTCTGACTAGACATGTTGAAACAAACAACAAAAATTAACAAAAATTATTTTTCTGAATAGCTGTTTGGGAGGAAAATATATTAAAAAAGATAAGCGAGAATTATCTTTTCAGAACCACAAAGGTGAACTGATTAACTGGCATGTGATAAAGCACATAGAGCAAACGTGTCATCTTTTTAATAATGAGGCTGCATGTAAACAAGCTCTTCAAAAGAGTTGTGTTTGGTTAAGCAAAGAGAAATGTCAGCACTGTAAGATGATTCAGCCTCGAATAGGAGCAACTAACATGTAGCCTGAGGCAACAGGTCTCCCACCATCCTGAGTCCCAAACCAACACATAACTATAAAGGACAACACTCGATTTACTAATCCCACAGGCCACCGAGAGCCAAGGAAGACGCTGTGTGTTTGTGAGGATGCACTGCTTAAGTCATAGCCTGAGCATGAGTCTGGAAGCAAAAAGAGGATTATTTGGAGCATTTGAGACTCACCTTTCCTTCTCTCCGTGTGATTACATTTTTCCTAAGTCCACTTCAAGCACCTTTCGAACATTTCAAGATTATACAGCACATTATAGAGAGGACAATTTAATACACTTAAGTAGTACGTATACACTCGAGATGATTATTTTACCTCCTATTGCTATTATAGCTACTGAGGTGCAGTGTAATTTTGATTTGTTCAATTCAAATTATGTCCTAAGACTTTTTGATAAATATTGTAAAATGTTTGTTAGGAATTTTCTAGTCATTTGTTTTTTTATCCCTTGATTTTAATCATTTTAAGTTCAAGATCCAAGGTGCAATGTGAAGTTTCTGTCTCTTCTGTAGAAGTTGTTATACTGCTAAAAGTTAATAAATAAATAAAAAGCAAAAACATCAGTATTATTACCCGTTTCAAAGGGGTACTCCTCCCCTAAGTCCTAATTGTATCCTTTGTGTCTTAATACAAAAATGAAACAACCGTTCAAAAGGTCATCATAACCAATTATTGCCAATTCTTTTTTACATGAACAGACAAGACGCCTTAACTCAAAAATACCAAATTAAAGATGAAGCATTTTTAAGGGCTTCAAAAACACAAAGAACACCCTGCGCTCTCATTCAGAAAATAATTTGTAATCACGCAAAGTAAGCAACCATTGAAGATTTAGATTTAGGGCAAGTAATATCAGGCTTATTAAATGTGCAGTTTGCTTCTTGGTTTATGCAACCCGGTTCCACTCTGGCTCTGGTTATCACCATTAAAAACAATTTCATCAGCCCACAGGCGGATCGAAACACTGTTGTTGGTTATTAACAGAGCAACCAGCTCCATGAGCTCATTCATCTAACAATAAGCTGCTCAATAACATCACCCCAGACATCGGGCTCTAATAGCAGTCATGTCCAGTGTAAAAAAACATTCCCCTTCAAGTCTGAAGATTCTGTACTGGAGATGATTGCACCTCAAATGTATTTTTCTCCCATTTCTCACCACTTCCCTTTGTGTTCTTATTAACAATAAGTGACATAAACATCCTGGCTGGGTTATACGGCCTTACGAATGGTTGCCTCTATTGATTGTTCTTTCAACAGTCCAAGCTAAAGGTTTTTCTCCTTGCTGTTGTCATTAAGAACAATGGAAAACAAAGGATTTTCCTACTTTTACACATCACATAAAATATAATAACTTGTCATCAATAAAAATGATTTTACACTGCTTTTTGAATATCCCTTACAAAAGCACATACATATAAATAAAAATAATTTGTCACAACTGCTGTTTAGGCCTGTTCAGAAGAAGAGCAACTTTTCAAGCTTATTTGGGTGTTATCCTCAAATGTCTCTAGTTGGTTATTAAGTGTGTCAAACTCAAGGCCCGCGGATCAAATGTGGCCTGCCACTGCACTTTCTGTGGCCTGCAAGAGCTTCAAAGATGCGCTGTCTTAAAATAAGTGTTTGCTGCTTTACAGCCAGCACTGACCATAAACTACATCTCTCACAATGTATGTGCAGTATTTTATCCAAGAAATGATAGCGTCCCACCACTAGGTGGAATTCAAGATGGCAGTTACTCATCACAAGTAAAGATGGTAAAACTCTTACGTTTAATTTTAATAGTATTGCTGTATTATTTATTTCACATTTAGTCAGCTCTATATGCATCACTTTTCAATGTTCATATGTTAAAACACTTTCTATGCATGAAATACCACGTAGAGCTCTGTTTGTTAGTGGCACTTAGCAGTAGCAATGAGAGGCAGAATGTAACATTTTGTGTTTAGTTAAAGTTGACTAAGTTGTTATTTACAGCTGGCTCTTTAAGGGGAACCATAATGCACATGTGGCCCTCAGTGAAAAAGAGTTTGGTACCCCTGGTGTAAGGCATGAAGCACAAATACCAAAAATATAAATCGTACAAGGAAGGCCTTTTAATTTTTAATTTGAACCTGATTAGCACTKAACAGTTTTGACATTACAAAATAGATTCAAAAGTGTTGGTATCAAAAGGTAACTGATGTAAAGTTTAAGAGTTTACAATTCATTACATTTTTCTTTCAGTAAGGTATTTAACCTTAAATAATATTAATTTAAAAAAATGTTCACCGTGACAGTAAATACAGGAAGGCTCCTTCAGGGTAAATGAAACTTTTTAAATTGTTTATTGATCAACCTTGAACAATGATATTCCTGTATAAAGAATAAATGTACTCTGGAGACTAGAAATTCTTTGCAAAGCTTTAAAGTGGCACAATTTGTGCAAAACTATTTTTAAGACAAACTATGTGCATCTCAGTATTATAAATACTAATATATTGTTCCTTAGTCATTGCTGTCATAAAAAGTCAAGAAAACGTGGGGAGTAGAATGAATGAATGTAGATTTAAACAAACCAGTATTTAATAATCAAAAAAAAWATATATATATATAGCAGCATATTTTTAAGTTGAATCAGATAAAGTACTAATCAGTTAGTGGCTTACCTGCAGAAGACAGCAACCAGGGTGAGTTCAAGATTGATTTTAATAACGTAGTTAACTTAATTCTCCGTTTTTAATGTCAGCAAACAGCTGCAGCTAAAAAAAAAGAACCTCAAAATTTGATAAGTCTTATTGATATTCTGTAAATCGAGCCAACGGAAGTTCTTAAACTGTTTCATTCATATCTTCTTTTAAATGAACATTTATTTCATGTCATTTGACAACAGAAATAAGTGAATAAGCCATTGAAAATAGTTTTCCTATGCAGGAGGATGTATTGGTTTTCAAAACAATCACATTAAGCAACTCCTGGTGTCAAAAAGTTGGCCTCTTGACATCGCTGCCAAGTATCTGAGAGGATGACAAGCTGACAGTTGCATGTCAGAATTATTGAAAAGTTCCATTTTCCAGACCCAGGCTACAAAGAGAGGCTGGAATCATAAAACACCTCCTTCGAAATGCTCACATTTGAGTCCAGACAAAGCCGGTTTATTATGCATGAAAGCAAAAAGATTTTCAAATGTATTCAAAGCGCAAGAGACAAAGTATCTGATGAATAATTTGGAAAAGGGAGTGTGGGTGTAGCAGGATTCAAAAGGACAATGAAATAAGAAAATATGTTATGAAGACAAAGAAAATTAGGTCATAAATTATGGACTGTGAGAATTTGTGTCATTATGAAGAAAGTGCTGCGCATGTATTCAAGACGTTTATGAGAAGCGAGAGACTGCAGAAGTTAAAAGGAGAAAGATGGAGAGGAGGAGGAGGAGGAGGAGGTGGTGGTACTAGGGCCTCACAAGGCAGCAGAATGGCTTTAACCTTTAGAAATGTTAACAGAAATCTGCTTGCTGAGAAAAGTTGTGCAATCACAACAAAAGCTAGTTGAGCAGAAAGGAATGAGTGGGCTGGGGGTGAATGGTCGGGGGCGCACGGACACACTTTCTGACTTTGTCCCTGACAGGTCATGTTTTCAGTGAACAAGTTCCAAAGGCAATAACTAGAGCACAAAAAACAACATCAGCATCAAACCCTACTGACTACTGGGTTTTAGCTCCATATCTCTCACACCCGTTTTTTTTTTACCCAGAGTAATCTCACTTCTATTCTTCCTACTTCAGTGTTCCACTATCCAAAATCCTACATCCTCATTTTCTTTATTTGACATCAAGGGTCACATATAATGAAGATGTTCTGCCTAACTAAGGCTTACCCCTTGGTCTCCTCTTTACAAATGAAAGATCGGAACCAGCACTCATCTAGCAGCCTGTGGGCAGCATTTAATTAGTCTCCAAAGCCGCACTCTGAAAAAATCTGAGTCCACATGAGCCAAAGAACAGTTTCCATGAGCAAAAATAAAGTACGCTTGTGAGGGAGTGTACATGCAATCAAACACCAATGTGAATGTAACAAAAGAAGCCTGTCAGAATAATTTTTTTAACGTGCTTGATTTCCACCATCATTAGCCAAAATCAGTGTCTTTCTTTTTTAGCACACATGTCCAGCATCGTTGACATTCAAGAAAAAGTCTTTCAGAGAAGTAACAACAATCCTACAGACAAGATCTTTAATCACAAGTACTCAGGAATATTTGACACAACATTGCTTTGAGACATTTGGGGTTTTGCAGTTTTGCTGCACATTTTTCACTACATACAGACATAAAACCAAACTAGTCTCATTACAGAAAGACACTAACTGAAGTATTGTTAAATAATCTCGTGTAATTGTATCTATACTAAACCCATGCTGTTGAATAATACAATTATATCAATTGCTTCCCTGTTCTTGTTTTCAAACATGTTTATGGAAGATGTAATTGGGAGAAAAATATATAATGAGGATGACATGTGTTTAATGAGTTCATGGTCTTTGGATGTTTTGCTTACTGTTGGCTGAACCTGGAAATTAACTGGTTGTAATTAAAAGTAATTCAAACTTATAGACCACATGTGTCAAACTCAGCCACATTTGGCCTGCCAGTCAGAGTTTTTATTTTTAGGCCCGAGCAGCTAAGCGCTGCGAAGGCCTATTGTTTTTGTACTGTTTATTAAAGTTCTTGTTTAATTTATTTTACTTGATTTAATATGAAAATAGTCTTTTTTTTATTAATGATAAACTTTGAATTTATGATTTAACACAACAAAGATATGGACTTAAAGGGGCCATATCATGCAAAATCCACTTATTTAGCTGATAAGTGCATTTTTTTTGTACTTGAAGTTTCTAGGAGTCCAGAAAAGTTGAATTTAGTCTCTCCTGGTGCTGCAAAGATATCTTCATATTCTGTTTGGGTTAACACATTCAGTTTTCTCTATTTTACATGACATTTTCTGAAGTATTATGCCACTGTATTTGCGCCAAATAAGGTCTGGACTTTACAACTAAAATTTCATTGTCTTCATTCTCCTCTGGCTCTGGGTCAGACTCTGGCTCCAACATGCAAGGGCGGATGGACGAGTCTCCTGTTGTTGACATCTTTTAATTAATTTGTAAATAAAACATTTCCGTGCTGCGAGATAACCGTAACCACTTATTTCGAACTGCAGTGAACCGGTTTGGAAGCCAGAAGGGGGCAGGGCGTGAAGCGCCTTTGCATTTAAAAAGACAGCATCAAAACGAGTTGCTTTTAGAGAAACCTCAGAAAAGTGAAGAGGGGCTGGTAAGGTTAAAATAAGGAGGAATTCAGGCCAAAGCATTATAGTTTCACTTTTTAAATACCCTATATGAATGATTTAAATGTGAAAAAACAAGGATTTAAAAGCTTGATATGTCTCCTTTAAAACATAACAAGTAGTAATGATTTAGACAAAAACAAATATTTCCTGACTAAGTTATGTTTGTTAGAAATCTCTTATATTTTCTTAGGTTACTTCTGTGAATTCATTTTTTCGCCTTCAACAATAAACTGAATAAACCTTTCAAAGTGTAAACAACCAGCTCAACAAGCCCACAGAACTAAAAGGCTTTTGCAAATGGAATGTCTGAAACGTCTCTTTTGAAGAATTTTGACTAAATTATGACAGAAAAAAAAATAAAAGAACTGAGTTAATTTTAACATTACCCTAAAACAATACAACAGTGTGAGAAAAAAGGTAATTAAAAGATTTACAAATGCATTGTAGTTAGCTTTACACACTACATCAAAAGGTTAGCTAGATTAAGAGTGAAAGGAAATACAGCACGCTGATGAACAGAGTCATGTCACTGTCAGATATTATTAGTGTCACAAGTTCAACCTACAGTGGACCCATTTATATCCAAGCATTTGATACATGTCAAACTTGTAACATTCACATAAGAAAAAGGTCCAGTCCTGCTCTGCAACAGCATTATTAAATGTCACTGACTAGTTATGCACTACATTTAACATAAAAAGTTGCCTGTAGGTTTTTTTTTTATTTTTATTTTTTTTTTTGGGGGGGGGGGGTAAATGTTTTTACTACAAAAACATCACTAGAAAAACACCACCTCTAAATTAAAATTAGCATAAGTACGTGGCATTAACTCATGACTAATGGGCCATCCATTCATCGATGTACAGCATCTGTTCATTAAATGTAAGTTGTCTTGGAGACACTTGTATATTTGAGGAGGTAAAAGCGCACCTTTTCTGTGATGATTCGATCCACACACTGTTTCCCTGTCAAGGGCAGGCTGCACTTCTCCAATATTTTGTGTTTTCCTCCCTGAAAGAAAGGGCAGAGAGTTAAAATAAAGGTCAGTTACTCACTTAGGTCTGTCAGTCTTTAAAATAAACAGTAATATATGAGGAGAACATGGATGGGACTTCATTTAAAGAGCTGCAGGTGGTTATGTGTGCACATTCTAAAGGATATTTAGGGCATATTCGATAAATTCAGCTTCTCCTTCTGTCCCCTTGGGGAAATAAAACAACAAAAAAGTCAAATGCTGCCTAAAAAAAGACAACATACTTTTTCCTACCCTTTCCCAGTCATGAATGGAAACAGGCTTCAGGGCAGTAAATTTATGCTCACCTGCTGCACCATCTGCTCTGTAACTGGGCGCCAGACAGGGTCCCATTAGCAAAAAAAACAGCATGCTTCTGTTAATGTAGAAAGATGGGTTTCTCTTGCATCATACTGGTGTCTGGACTTTCTAAAGGTAAGCCAAAGCAGTTCGATAGCTTGCTTGTGTTGTAAAGAACCCGTCTGAGCACGCCTAAATAATCAGTCAAGTCTAATTTGTATTTTGACTTGGCTCGTATTTAAATTAGCTGAAGATAAATGAAGAGAGAATAGTTTCTACGAAAACCTCTTCAAAGTGAGCTGGTACTCTCTGATTGAAAAGCATTAGGCAATCTATTAACAAACTTGTCCTTTTCCAGCTATAATACTAAATATTCCAGGAAACTCATATGAAGAATACTAGTAAAAAAACAACTTGGAAAAAGGAAATTGCCAGTTTAATTTGCTTTGGGTTATTGCTTACTCCTAATGAAATATCTTCTTGGGTGCACAACATACACACCTTAGCAGAGTGCTCCATGGTTACCACAACTTTAGTTCCAGCACTGGCAACCAAATCCATGGCTCCTCCCATTCCCTTCACCATTTTGCCCTGAAAATGGGAAAACAAACATTGGACTTCAATTTCAGTTATTCAGTTTAAATTAGGAAACAAACTGGTAAGAGGGGTTCATAGAAATGATGATGCAATTTTCCTTTCATGCTACCCAAGAAGATTCAAAACCAAATTCTCCTCAAAGAAAAACATGCATCAGCAAATGAAAATGGTTTGTGTAATAAATGCAACCTACTAAAATAATTATTGGTAAACCCTAACTTTAGTCCACTGCTGAATAGAATAACAAACAAAAAAAAAAAAAACAATTTACAGTATGAAAGGGAAAATATTATTGTAGAGAAAATAAAATGGAATAATCACAAATGGCTGTGAAAGTGGTCATAAATATTTTTAAAATCAAAATATAAATCTAAAAGAAAAAAGGAACATAGTACTTTTAAAATTTCAGTTACCCAAGAAAACTATTTAGTAAAAAAAAAATCAAGGTAACATAAAACAAACATTTTATACCCAACTCCAATTTTTAATAGGACTATTATTTTGGTAGATGAAGGCTCCAAAACTACTATATATGCAATATTATTTTTTAAAAGCATGATGTAGTACTTTATTATATTATTATTCACAAACAAAATTAAAATTTAGCAGATTGCAATCATATTATAATTAATATCATAACTAATTAAAAAACAAAGGTGTCAGGACAAAAATAAAACAGTTGTAGGTGGAAAAGAAAAACAACTTGTTAAAGTGCTGCACAAATCTGCAAGTGTAGAAGTCATTAGTTAAATACTAAAAAGTCTTAGTAGAATGTGAGACTATTAATATTATTGACTACATGTAATAAAAATGTGTCTTGGAGGAGCCACAGTAGGATTTCAATAATGTGGGCAAATTGCATTTTTTTGTTGCTAGTAAAAAAAAAACAAAGAAGCAAGAAAAAAGGCAAGCAAGAAAGCAAACAATTTAGGTAGTATAGACAGCAGGGAGTAAATGGAAGCAGTGTTTTTACACCTTTTATAAATTCTTACAATGTAGCTTTAAAATAGAGGTGTCCAATCCAGGTCCTCGAGTCCCACTACATTGCATGTTTTACTTATTCTTCTGCTCCAACACCTGAATCAGCAATTTAATTACCTCCTCAAGTTCTGCAGAAGCCTGTTAATCACCCATTCATTCAAGTCAAGTGTGTTGGAGGAGAAAGACCTGTAAAATATGCAGGATAGTGCCCACTGAGGAACAAGAACTGGTCACACCTGCACTAAAATTTGCTATAGGTGGAATATGGAGCAATGATTAAAATATATATACGTATGCATATGTGTGAGTGTAGAAAGCCTTCTTAGGTCACATTTCAGTGAGTAAATAAAAATCATAAATGTTTTCTTCAATTTCAGTAAGAAAAAATGTGACTTTTCACTGCAGCCTAGACAGCTAGTTCAAAAAAAATGACAAAAAGCTATCTAAAAGATCATCACCACAACATATTTGTCAGCTGGGTGAAAAATTGTCTTTCGGTCCTGCATTGTTCCCAGCAAAGCCAGTTTCCAAACACGGAAGGCTGACATGCTGATATGGCCACAGGGTGACGGCTCAGTAACTGAATTAAAATCCCATTTCCTCATCAATCATGTGAAGAGCCTGTTTTGCTCTCTGCTCAATAACCCGAGGAAATATATGCCAAGTGTGGTGCATCATAAGGATACTGTCTGCCAGCTGGATAGAGAAGATATCAACTGAGAGCACAAAGGATGTTCGGCAGACATAAGGTGGTTTTGAGATGAGGGGTGGGGGTTCTCAGGCTGTGCATAGAGTTTACATTATTATCCTACTGAGTACAGTTTACTGCATTAACCTGCTATCAATATAAAAACACCAACTAAAACAACATACATTTTACGTTTTTATTCCTCAAATACAGGCTTTTCATCAATTTGTTTTTCTTCAGCACACATCATTTCGACAAAGTTATGTGTGGTCATGTCTTCTGTCAGCCTTCATGGCAGCAAGGCTGGATTTATTTTTGCCATAAGAGACACCTGGTAATGTACTGCACTCTGACTGCTGTAAATCAAAAAGTGGATCTATTTCAAGCTCAAAACCACAATTGTGTTAAAGTACTAGTCTAGTGATGATTTGTTAAAGTGTAAATTCAAAATTGAATAAAGATTTACTGACTTGATTTTCAAACAGACAAATAAATCCAATTAAATTATATTTTGACTGAATGAGGTCAATAACATTCAACTCCTAGTGTTAGTTGCTTCACATTAATCATGCAGAAGCCAAGTCTTAGCTTCACTTGAAAGCACAAAACTTGAACTGGTCATAATTATGTTGTCTCTTTACTGAATACATTGAAGTTTTTGAGATTAGGATTTGAACTAATCACAGAGAATATAGAGGTTGCGGTGCCATCTAAATTCTGAATGGCAGAACATGCCCGAAGGCACTCAGATGGAAATAAAACATTTTCATAACAATATCCACAAAAATATCCCCCAAGACGCAACCAACAGCAGAGTAATTTAGTCATTTCATTAACAAAGCTTTGATGATATTGACCTTGCTGGTCTAACAAAAGCCCCCACATGTTTTTAATTTCCTCGCCACACTGTCTGCATTTGCCTGTTGTAATTTCAACATAACAGGATCTTTGAAAGACTGGAACTTCACACATTTAAACAGCAGAAACAAGAAAAGTTTGATTCTGCTTTGTGACATCTCTTTTCAAAAAGAGGAAAACTGCTCTTCAGCTGCACAGATACAATTCTGGGGGTACACTTGAATATTGTTTGGGCAGAATCATTTTAGCGCTGATTATTTTACATATAATCTAATTTTAAAAAGTAAAGCAGGTTAAGTTAAACAATTCAAGACTTCTCTTTTTATTTAGTGGCATAATGATACTCAAATAAATCTATGCAAAAAATATTTGCAGAAAATGATGTAAATGATTTTAGTAGCTGTTGGTAGACTGACAGAATTTGGAACAATTGGAGCTGAACCAGTCAAAATTTAATTACCGTATTTATTCATGTTTAATACGACCCCCCCCCCCCCGCCTCTTGAGCTTAAAAAGCATAAAAAATTTAATCCTCAAACTGCCTCCAATTTCATACAGACTTCAAGATTTTTCAGCCTTTGCAGTCTTTATACATTTCTGTAAAATGATCATTGGACTGTTCATTTTATTTTAACAACATATGTACTAAAAGGTATTTTGACAACAAATATACAGTATATCAGCTGTAGCAGCATCATATGAATTCTGGCATTTTACATATACTCCACCAGGAGGCGCCAACACAAAACTCAGAGACTTCACATGAGATTTGGGCCATCTTGTGGGGGAAAAGCAGATTACTTCCTACTCGTGATCGCCCCCTCTGGTGGGGAAACCTTTTTTCAGGGATACAAAACTTTTCAGAACACCGTAGACGGCAGCCATAACAGAGGAACATGTGGTTGTTGTTGTTCCAGGAGTGGTTCGGTCACACGCTAATGTCATTAGTTCGTTATCATTACTGAGGTGAAGGACTGCTTTCCCCCCTTTTTTTCACATCATGTCGCCTACCTGGATCTGTTATTATCTGGCTCTGAAACACGGAGGAGTGTCACAGGTGAGCTCGTTTCAACGGCTTTTTACAACACGGTCTCATTTCCGGACTCAGGCATGTTGCCGATATTTCAGTTAAAATACATAAGTAAAAATATTTATCCGAGTATAATACTACCCCCCAACTTTATGGATGATTTTATGGATTAAATTTTAGGTATTATACTTGAATAAATAGGGTAATCTAAGTCTCCTTGAATTATCTCAAATCATATCAAATCCAATGTCAATGTGTGAAAATACAGGTTAGATTTATTGAAACAAAAAATCCACAAACAGCTACAAGTTGGAGATAATACAATATAATAATACTCGATAATACTCGAGAGGCTGAGTCAGTAGTGTACAACCCAGAAGACACAGGGGTTCATGAGCTGAAGCTTTGCTGAAATGACATCTATCATAAATGTGAAAGCAGAGACCAGTCACAGTCATTTTCACTCAATCTCTTTCTCTGTGAAATGAAACCCCAATGACACACAACTGATGCCTTGCCTATAATTTATTGCAGAACAAAGAGAAAATCAGTGTTCATTTAGAGCAAGTAATTCCCTAATACACAAGGGCGAAAAAATGAAGCAGCAAGAAAATATGGAAAATGATGGATTTTGTTTCAGAAGCTGCTGGTGACACATACGTGGGAATGCTGGGCATAAAATATGCCACAGCAGCACTTCTGCATGAGAATATGCATGGGACGCATATTTTGACTAACACTATTTATCTATCTGCACTTTGTGAGGATGGCTGCATCTTTTTCAAGTTACCATGACAACGGATTACAATTTTCTAATTTGTTGAGCAAGAGTTGACTTTTGAGTGAGTGGTAGAAATACCACAGAAAATGACCCCCTTCACAATTCTAAGAGTTCCTGCTTACCAATTCTCTGATGGTCTGTGCTGTCTGATGTAAATGGCTCTCTATTTAATAACATAGCGACGGCCTGACACAAAGCTTTGTCACCCAGACAACTAATGACAAGAATCAGAAAGAACTGCCAGGAAAACAATAGAAAGTGTTTTCAAAATAACTAAAAAGCATCACTGTTTACATTTTGTAAGAAGTAAACAGCTCAATTTACTTTTAAAATGCCATTTTACACCCAAATAATCAGAAGCAATGGTTGGATTAGGATGCTATCTGGAGCACATGCACACCAACAATGCATATATAAATTATTTGATTTGGAAAATCTGGCAGGTCCCTAGAAACCACAGTGGTGGCATTGAATGAATAAACGTGGAGAAATAGTGTTATCAGGCAGTTGCCTGAGCATTACAGCAAGTGAAGGTGGACAAAAACCAAAGAACACTTTGGAAACACATTAGACAGCATTACCAGCAGTGGACAGTGCTGGATAGGGGCTATATGGATTTGCATGAAGCCTCGTAGTTGTGCAGTTTATTTGTGAAACCATAATGTGTGAGGACACACAACACAAATCAAACCAAACGAAGACCCTTGAGTTATACAATGAGCACTGTAAACCTCTGCACCTGCCAGGTACCACACTTTTTAAAGAAATAGTTTTTAGTCATTTCTAAAGTGATGTTTTGTCAAATTGTTGTAATGATCGATACCTGATCAGCAGTGACATCAGTCATAGAGCACAGAGTATGGACAGAGCATAAAGATGTTCCAGGATAGGCTAATGGCTAGCCAAACAAGTGCCTGTATCATTCCAGTGTCTTCATGACAATTTTAGTGCACTACGCAAAGGCTGCCATATGTGATATATACTAAATTTATAATTATGCTTATATTTTTGAAGCAACTTTAGCACATTTTCTTACTTCGCTTTTTTCTCAAACCAATTGCAAAATGCTAATTTCTCAAAGCTAACTTTGCTACTTTTTTATTCATTTCATTAAAAAACACATTACATACAACAAAATAGTGCTTGGCGGTATGACCAAAATTTTATATCACGGCATTTTCAACATTCACACCGGTTTCACGGTATATCATGGTATTTTTGTTTTCATCACAGGTCAGCTGATAATACAATGTACAAACACCGCTTATTAACCTTTTTCTTTTACTGTACCTCTGTCTGTGTCGCTGTTTCCCTCCTCTAAACTTTTTTTCTTCTCCTCATGGTTGGAGACAGTAGTAATGCATTTTGGTCGGGTGGTAAAGAAGGAAGGTTAAGAAAAGATTATTATCGGGTCTTTTGGTTTATGTTATTTAATAAAGGTTAACAGCATGACTCACCTTGCACACCAGTCAATCAATTCCACTACAAAACTTCCCCTTTCACAATAGAAGCACGTTAAAGTCTCCAGGCGTCTCCACGTCTCCATATTAAAGTCGCGTTATATCTAACCGTGCACATCACTGAAGAGGTGTTTACTAGATTCAGCGACGGGATGTTTTTTTAACGTCAGCCAATATAAGAAGCGGAATCGCCAGCTGCCGCTGCAACAATAACATTAGCATGCTAACGCATATAGCAGGTGCAGCAAGAAAAAGTGTCCCCCGGGTAACAGCGGCCGCGACGAAACGTTCCGCACGTTTTCAGGCTRTTTAAACCGGTATGTCGGTATTCAGAAAATTCATATCATAACCAAAATAAAAAACGGTATTCGGTACGAACCGTTATACTGCCCAGCACTACAACAAAACAATACAAATAAAATAAAATGAAAGGCAGCATAAGAAGAAAAAAATCTTATGATATCTGCTCCTTTTACAACAAAAAATTATATTAATTTCAAACAATAATAAAACAAATAAAACAAAAACAAAA